TACTCAGCATATCTCAAATGGGCAGGAAGCAGGAGAACGTAGCTCTTTCAATAATCCAGTTATCCAAGTGTGGTCCCTGATCTATCAGTATCATTTTCTTTTTATCAGTGGTAGGGCCTGAGCTCTAGGACAGGGCACTGTCCCTCAGGAATTCGGCTCAAGGCTAGGGCTCTAGCCCTTGAGCCACAGTGCCACTTCTAGCTTTTTCTGCTTATGTGGTACTGAGGAATCAAACCCAGGACCTCATGCATGCAAGGCAAATACTTTACCACTGAGCTACCTTCCCAGCCCCGGTCTATACCCTTTTTGAAACAAAAACTCTGTAGAGACACTCTGTTTTGTAAACAAGCCCTTCAGGGAATTCTAACTTTGATTTGTGAGCTATGCTTTAGGCCAGCCTGAATATATCCCAGCTTTCCCATTCCCTAACTGTGTGACATTGGGAAAGTTATTTAACCTCTCAGCCTTAGAAATCTTATCTATAAAATTGGTAAGTAGCCATTTCCGCAGGAATTGAATAAAATGATCCATATAAAAACGTTGCAAAGTGACTAGCACATAATAAATCTTGATAAATATTAGCTATTATCATTGTTATTCTATGTACAAGAATTTTGGATAGATGGAAAGAACTTAGACCCCGAGTTTATAATAAGAATGTTATCTAATTTTGAAAGAAAAAGAGAAGGCCATTCTGTGTCACATTGCAATGAAGTATTTCCAATTTGGAAGGATTTAAAGGAAGCCCCAAATGGTCCAATAGCCCAAGAAGTTCAAATTGAAAGGATTTCACAATCAGCCCAGCATAGGGCTGATAGGCAAAAAAGGTGAGGAAAAGACAGGAGGGCTTGAAATAGCCATTTGAAAAGTTCTCTATAGAACTGGAGGTAGGCCTCCTGCTAGCCTTTGTAGAAATAAGAAAAGGAACCCCTCCTGGTTGAATGCAATCCCACAGGTGCTCTGCTTGGGGAGTGAATGCTCCTTTGTACCATTGGACAAAGGCCTCCAGCAGGGCTTATGGTTGGAGGAGCAGAGAGTGGAAGGGATTTTGGGCCTTCATGCCCACTCAGTTAGGTTTCCTTGTGCAGGTCAAAACCTACATAATCCCACATAGTAGCTGTGACTGTAAGTTGTGGCTTTTATCTTTGACCAATGTTTCTCCCAAGTCATTTTTTCTGAAATAATGACAATTGACAATTGATCCAAAGATTTAAGAGAACCAAGAAGAGGCTGAACGCCCCTGCTCTGAGACTTCACTTATTTTCTGCTGTTAATAATGCCTACACCAATCTACTTCTTATGAGACCCACAGATGTTGTAAAACTTGATAATTAAAATATATCCTGGACAATCTTGAGAGATAATAAATGAGATAATGAATGTGTGTGCATTTCTGTAGAGTGTTGGTTACATGGTTGCTTTTATTGTCTCTGTAAAGTTTGGTGAAAGGACACCTCCATGAGGTTCAGGCAGAAGAGAGTTTATTATGAGAACCAAGCCACCAGCCCACACTAGATGGAGGTGTGCAGAGAGAGGGCTTGTGGTGAGGAGAGAGATTATAAAGGGTGAGGGTAGGGAGGAGGTGTGGCTGCAACAGATAAGGAAGTGACCTCAGAGGATACAGAAGTGACCTCAGCACATCCCATAGCCCCAGTTACCTCAGATACAGGTGCTGGGTGGGGACTTCTAGGAGTGCCTCCTGCAGTGGTACACAGAGAGAAAACAAAAGGAAAGGGCCATTTTTTCTTAAGGTCTCTATGGCCCAACATCTAATAACATTTCTGTGGCTTCCCTTCCCAAGCACTTGAAGCTTTATTATTGCTACTATTATTTAACTACTTACTATTGTTTCATACTTAGGCATTTTGCTAAGAAAAATACACCCTCTAACTTTAGAAAAGTATCAATAATATATCTGAATTGAAAACATTAAGTTACAATAACAAAAACAACACACTAACCACTAGCAATGGCCTATTCTATTCCTTCTATGAAAGTTTACATGGGCTTCTAGAGTGACAAGAAGTAGCCTCATAGCCAGCAAAATAGGAAGAGGTTAAATTTTACCTTCCTCAGCCCTTCTTAGTAGAGACCACAAAAGTCTCAGTACCTATACAGTTCTCACTCAAGATAGATAACAGCTAGGAATACTTAGCAGCTTCAACCCCACCAGTTGAGAGTGGCTGGAGTCTCAGTGAGAGATTTGCTTTGATATGTGCTGTGTCTGGTGTGTTGCAGCTTATCTCAATGTGATGTTGGCCCAGTCTATACTGACTGGCTTCTGATTATATTTCACCTGCTCTCTAGTTTTTTAATGTGATCACAGATGTAACCTGGATAATAGGTCACTTGGCAAGAGTCCTGATGCTCTATTTTTATTCATTTCTAGGACCCTGGTTCTCATGTGTCTACTGGCTAAGGCACTGATCTCAATAAATGACTAAGTGGACAACAAGAACAAGAGCTATTTTTCTTTAACATTAATTTTGTTTTCCCCAGCATCTATGGTTATACTTTCCCTACAAGTTGGCATGCCCTCAGATACTAACACCTAGCTGTGCCAACTATGACTACCATACACTCCTATGGCTGCTGTATACTATGCTGCCTGAGATCATACTCAGTTCCAGACCAACCTACTCCTCAGCTTCCCTGTCCTCTTACCCTTAATCATATTCTTACTTATGTCACTGAGATCCTAGCATGTCTCATCTGAATATAATTATGTTTTGTTAAGAACTAGAGGAAAAAGTTCCTAGGGTATAGAGCTTTTTCTTTCCTTCCTCCTCCAAATTGTATGGCTATCCTTATGATTCAGGGACTTTCTTCGTTCCTTTACCTCTTTATCCTACGATTTGTCCATCAAAGACAAAACTCACATTCCCCTAGTGAATTGATCTATACTGTTACAAAGAAAATATTCTGACTAAACAAAGGTATATTAAGACAAAATTGGCTGGTCACGGCAAATAGGGAACATTTAAATGCAGTTTCATTAGCTCAAAAGCAATGGATCTCAAATCTGGCTGGGCTTTATAAGCACCTGGGAAGGAATTTAAAATATCTTTGCTGGGAGTCCAGCACAGACTGATCAAAATCTGGAGGTGGTGTTCAGGCTCCAGTTATTTTGCAAGGTGTTCAGATAATTGTAGTATGTGGCCAGAGTGAGAATCCTTGATCTAAAGAATGGATTCCTAATGGTAGAACAATAATATGTACATTTCCTACTTCTCTGCCTCAAAAGGGTTGTGGATGGTAAATATTGGATCCTAATTCCTCAGCCTGACAGCCCAAAGAGCTCCAAGGCCTAGGTTTATTTAACATTTCATGGTAGAAGCCAAGATGTCATTTCAAACATACTATTTTAAAAGGGAAGGTTGTGAAACACTCATGGAATGTAAACTTGCTAGAGACACTGGGCTTCATAAAGCTTTGTAACTTATTATAAAGTTATGATATTAAATATGATTTCCTGTTTCTAGCATGGGTCCTTACTAGAAATAGTTTTATAATCCACATACTTTGGTGCTCTGTATCTGGCTCTGTTATAAAGTAATCAGAGCCATGCAGATTGTTTAATATTACAAGATCTTATACACTGGAGTTGGAAGCAGACTACTATAGTTCCTGGAACTAAAACTTTTTGCCCTCATCCTCCCATAATGATCATAAATAAAGTCCAATACTAGAGACACTTGAAACCTAAAATGAGTTTCTGGTTATAAGCCAGGCCTAAACTGGATTACTCTCTAACAAGCCCTTTGTTATGTTAAGGAAATGACTAGAACCAAAACTAAAAGAAATAATCAGTTTGACAAGTAGTTTCTGAGCTATCTATCCTAAAGTGGTAGGGTGACTGCAGTGGGGAAATGAGCAAGATTCCTACTAATTGCTCCCACTTCTAAAGAAAGTTAAAATGGAGATTTAAAAAAATCTAAGAGCAAGCTGGGCGCCCTGGGTTCACATTCTAATCCTAGCTACTCAGGAGGCTGATATCTGAGGCTCAAGTTTTGAAGCCAACTCCTAAAGCAGGAAAGTCCCTAAGAGTCATATCTCTAATTAAGTACCAAAAAAACAGAAGTGGAGCTGCAGCTCAAAGTGGTATGGCACTAGGCCTTGAGCCAAAAAGCTCAGCACCCGGGGCCTAAGTTCAAGCCCCAGGACTAGTACACACAAAAAAATTAAGAGTAGAAACATAATTAAAACCAAGTGTCATGAGGGCTTGCCATAGATGTAAGTCAAAGAGTCTCTTCTAGAGGACCAGGAAGGACCCTGGTTTCCCACATCCACCCAACTTGCCGTGGAGATCTTTGTTTTAGTAAATTAAGACTTTTTGTGTCACAGGATGCCTTATCTACGCAAGAATTTTCTTAGAATGCAAACCTTTCCATGGAAAGGGAAATACCCTAATATTTAGTCAGTCTTACTATTTTGATTCGGTTTCATTTATCAGCTAGATGCTCTCCATGACAGGGAGAAAAGCCCTGCTTTCTGGAGAGGGATGAAACGGGAGGCATTTGGCATTCCCTGATTAGACAGGTTCTATGTGAGATGTGACAACACAAGGGCACTAGGCACCTATGAAGGAAAAGTACTCAGAAGGATTGAAAAGGTAGTCCCTTCTCAGTGACCAGGACTGACCAAAAACAAAACAAAAACAAGCATGGCCCTCTTTGGCTAGTCTTAAACCACTGTGGTCCCAGGGCAGGGAGGATGTGTGGCTAAACTAGTCTTAATGTCATTCTTCCACACCTAGGTGCTTACAACAGGAACTATCATCTAAGGGGTACCTCAGCCACTGAGTTCTCTGTACCTCTATTGAATCTCTAAGACTGTCTAAACCAGAGTGTTAAGGTGTAAGAGTGAGTGAAAGAGAATAAATGCATAAGAGGTCAGGGAATAATGTGCTAACCTAGAACATGAGAGCAGAAAACCTTGTGGTGATTGCCTTATTTTACACAAAAGCCACATTTAAACCTCTGACAGGGGCAAACACTCACTGCGAATTCTGTCTGCTTGGCGAATCCGCTGAAGAGCTTTCCGAATGCTTTGGCTGTCTTGTCCTGTAGTCAGGACGACCCCTACAGGTAGGCCACGGCTCCGAAGAGCACTTGCGACTTGATTGGCTGTATGTACCCAAATGTCTTCACCTGAGGAAATGACCCCAGCATGAGCCCACTGGAAATACTTCATGACAGTTACAAGCACTCGAATGGGAGAAGGGAGTATCCTAGAAAAGGTCGGGTAGCTATTCTTATTGTCTAATTCGTAATTCACACAAGCCCAAGAAAAAATCCCTTTCTCCCAGCTGTTTCCTAGGAGCGAGGCTGCCTCACAGTAGCCAGGGTTGGCAGGTCCAATAAATCCTGAGGCCATCTGGTGGTAGGAAATGAAACTGGATAGAGCCTTCGAAGTCTGGCAGTCTTCATTGAGAATCACATATTCAAACGAGTAACTCTGGTCAAGCAACTGGTCCCGGTTGATTCTTTTAATTGCCAATCCAGCTGCAACCTCAGGCAGGGCCTTTGAGAACAAAGGATCACAGGTCCAAGGGCCCACTACCCCTATCTTGTAGGGCAATGCCCACACTTGCTGCAAGAGAGATGGAAGGGCCAGGAGGCACAAGCATCCCTGGAGCTTGAAAGATGCAAAGCCATGCTTTCCCGACAGACTTCTGGGAACCACAAACCAGAGCATAAGGCGAGGCAAAGGCCAGGGTCCCAGGAACATAGCCCTCCTGCTTTCAGTGAGCTAATAATAAGATACTGGAAGGTTGCTCTGCTATGTTGAGGTGAACAACGGTGTTTCCAAATGCCTGTCAATCAGAGAAAAAAGTTTGTTACAACATTTTTTAAAAGTGCTGCATACTACCTGATTGTAAGATTTGAAGTTACTCATGCTGTTTCTGAAGCTTGTAGAAATAGCGTTTATGAAAGAATGACATTCCCCTGAATAGAAAGTTTCCTTCCCCAGCCAAAATTCCTTAGTAGATGGCACCCCAATCCATTATTTGCCCCTTTGTTTCAGTAAGACATCTTGGAAATTCAGACTCCTTCTCTGCTCCTTTGTTTTCAGTAAGACATCTTGGAAATTCAGACTCCTTCTCTGCTCCTCACTTTCAATCCACCACAAGTCATGTTGACTCAATGTTAGTAATATCTGCCCACCCATCCCAGTGTTGGGAAGACTACACATGTTCACAATGGCAAGTGTTTATAACAGAGCCCAGCTTCTCATGAGCATTTTGGGAGTCAAATTATGATCATTAGTATAGTTTTCAATATGTCTGCTCTCTTCCCTGCTATGCAAGAGATGGCTGAAAACAGATCATGGCAAGGCAGAATAAGAAATGCTATGACTGAGGTAGCCCGGACAGAGACAGACAAGAAGGATTACATAAATCCACACTCAAGAAAAGGAGAGGAGAGGAAAGCTAAAGGGATTCCAGACAGAAAGAACAATATGTATGAAGAAAGGATCTTTCTCTCTCTCTCTCTCTCTCTCTCTCTCTCTCTCTCTCTCTCTATCTATCTATCTATCTATCTATCTATCTATGGTTAGATTCTCAAAATTGCAAATCATTTGCTTTGCTTAGGTCTATGATATCTGCCATGATAAGGGCCTAATCCTAAATGTTAGGATTTAATCCTATAGATGGCAGTTTTAAGAAAAAAAGAAGTATTATCGGGTTTCCATTTTAAAGGATCACTCTAGGAGCAGTGTGGAGAATGGATTGGAATGGAGCAAGACTAGAAGCAGGATGACACATTTGGAGGCACAACAGTAAAATGACAGACTAGGAGGAGTTAAGATACATTCTCCAGAATTAAATATGTAAAAGAGAAAATTTTGAGACCCCCCCAAAAGATACGAGTTGATGGATTATAATATCACAATGAGGGCTGGGAAGGTAGCTCAGTGGTAGAGCGCTTGCCTTCCATGCATGAGGCCCTGGGTTCGATTCCCCAGCACCACATAAGCAAAAAGGAAAAAAGCCGGAAGTGGCACTGTGCCTCAAGTGGTAGAGTGCTAGCCTTGAGCTGAAGAGCTGAGGGACAGTGCCCAGGCCTAGAGTTCAGGCCCACGAACAGACCCCCCCAAAAAAAATCACAATGAGCAAAAAAAATGTGAGAATTAATGAAGTAAATTCAGCAGTGCACAGACATCTTAAGATAACACATGCAAGGCCTTTGTGTACCTCTTTTCTTACAACTCCACTTATACTGTTCTTATCTCATGATATAGTACAGTTAATGTAGTTCGTCAGAGTATTGAGTGTATTATTTGGAAAGTGCTATTCCTATTGTTTAGAATTCATCCCTTCCTCTTGCTCTGCTTCCATAGTCTCTTGATAACTCTAACATGTATTTATTTTGGCGGGGGGGGGGTCCGGTCGTGGGGCCTGAACTCTGGGCCTGGGTGCTGTCCCTCAGCTCTTCAGCTCAAGGCTAGCACTCTACCACTTGAGCCACAGCACCATTTCTGGCTTTTTTCTTTTGCTTCTGTGGTGCTGAGGAATCGAACCCAGGGCCTCAAGCATGCAAGACAAGCACTCTACCACTGAGCCACCTTCCCAGCCCTCTCTTGATAACTCTAACCTAAAGGCCCAGATTAAGTTTTTCCTGCTTTTTGCTGCCTTAGTTAACATTGGTACATTGAGTTCTTTCTGTCTTTATCTGTGCCTCATACATAAGACCATTAGAGTAGGCTTCACTGATGATAAGTTGTATTTCTGGTGTAGCTTGTGACAAGGATACAAAACTATTTAATAGCTCTGAATTTCTAGGATGTCATATTTCCAGCCACAAGGAGTACCCAAGTGGAACTCTGTGGAGAACAGAGGTCACTAGACTAGGAATTCCTAGAGACCATTTATATCCCTAATGCCTAGCCAAGTGTCCTACAGATTGTAGGTGAAATGACTAACAAACTTAATTTGACCCAAGGTTACAAATAACCTCAGTAGGTGTAATAAGAGGAGAGAGATGGTAATGAGGAAAATCTTTAGTAAATATTTAATTCTAATGAAATATCCAAATATTGGCATTGCTCTCTTCTGGGTTGATAGCACAGATATACACTGGTCAAGGCCCAATCTTGTTGTTTATTATTGTGTGCTAGTCCTGTTGGATGTATATTTTGATTATCATCCCTAATTATGTGAAAAATTCTATTCCAGAAACCAATCTGGAACACACCTGATAATCTTAGAGACCCACCACAATAAGATGCCCCACATTCATACACAGATGAATGCTGGTTTAAATGAGACACAACAAAGATTTGGTGGAGGAAGTAACCGCAAAAAATAACATGAGCTAGAGGCTAATGGCTATGTGGGCTGGAAGAAAGATAACTTTCCACTTTACCCAAAGAAAAGCATAGTATAAATGGTAATGTTACTACTCTCCCCCAAAACAAATCTGAGTAGCTAGTATTGCAAGCATAAGCCTCAGCACTCAGTTACTCAGGAGGCTGAGATCTAAAGATTGTGGTTCAAAGCCACACCAGATAGGAAAGTCCATGAGATTCTTATCTCCAATAAAGTAATCAGAAAAATTCAGAAGAGGCTTTGTGGTAGAGGGCTAGCCTTGAGCAAAGAGAGGCTCTGGCACAGAGCCCAAGCCCAGAGTTCAAGCCCCAGGACCAGAAAAAAAAAAGATCAGACCTGTGTGTTGGGTTGAAAGCATATAAATGAGATATAAGCTGAACTCTAGTCAAGAGCTACATGCTTCTCTTCCTACCTTTCTCCAGTCCCAGTCATTTCTCTGTTACAGCCAAAGTTGGCAGCCCCTATAGGAGAGATCCCTGTTCTCAATGTGTATTGTGACAAAGGTACTGAAGATATTGAACTATATTGTATCTGTCCTTCCAAGGCCCTAAAAGCCACTCAAAGTGAGCAACAGGGAGGACAACCCCATGATGGGAACAGACCCCTATTCGCAGCAAAATGAAGGCTGTTCTATATAAAGTTATGTCTAGTTTTTGAGAATGAGAGTCTTTGGAGGACATCCTCCAATTCTCCATTCCTTCATTTGCACAATGGAGGTAAATGTAATCCTTTTGAGATAAGGGATTATAGAAGTTATCATGTTAAGCACACGATTGTCTTTGCTGTTTGGAAATTGGATTGCACTGGGAATCAGAAGATGAGGGTCCTGGATCCAGCTCTGTACTGCTATACCATGCCACTTCCAACAGGTTGCCCCTCCTCCACAAGGTCTGTCCTTTGTTTCCCCTAAATTCTACCATAGGAACTGTAAATCCCTTCCTTCTCTGACATACCTTTGATCCTGGACTTCTGACTTCTTCCAGGAAATTACTTTTTTTAAAAAAATTTTAATTTATTTTTTATTGTGAAAATACTGTACAGAGGGGTTACAATTACATGGGCAAAATAGTGAGTACATTTCTTATTAAGCATTGTGGCCTCCTCCTTTGTTTCCCCTTCCCATCCCTTCCCAGCCTCTCCCCGCCCCCCCCCATCAAATCCCCCCCCCAAAGTTGTAAAGTTCGTTTTCAACATGACAACTTGTACTTCTCATTGTTGCAGCGGGTCCACCTGTATCCTTATTTAAAGGACTTGTTTAGGAAATTACTTTTTTAAACGTCTGCCCTCTTAACTACTTTCAAGCTTCATTCAGTATTTCCTGGTCTTTTCCCTCTAATTAGCTTCTTACTAGAGTTAGAAATGCCCAAGTAATTTCCACTTACTTCTATCTGAGACTCAGTTTTGATTGATATTTTGACCTATAATTGTCTATAAAGAGCCTATGATGGAAGGCCTACTCCTTCAATCCTAGAATTGGGCTACACTGAAAGCCTATATACGTGAACCCATTAGTTTTCATTGCTCAAAAACTACTCATTGAGAATGTGGTCTGTACTAGGACAGTATCTATCAAAAAAGGAGGGGAATAGAGTGGCCTGGCAAAGAAGTCTCAACAGAAAAAGCAATCATCTACTACAAGAGGAGGAGAGAAAGAACACATGCTTGCATGTAAGGCTAAATTTATATGTCCCTTGTTTGCTTTTGCTCATGATCCTATCTCTGGTGCGTTGCATTATACTTGGCACATAGTATGTACTCAATAAGTATTTGTTGAACAAATGGTGAAAAGAAGACATGGAGCACAGATGAATGTGTTATGTACTATGTTCTTGACAAGGCTGTGTTTTAGACCTTGATCAGAACTCAACTTGGCAAAATTGTCCAGTCAGTAAAGTTTGCCTTCAAAGTTCTAGCCTAATTCTCTCTACTACTAGAGAGAAAAACAGCTCTAGGGGAAAAAAGTCTTTAAATAATCTGCACTTCTTTGTAAATGAATATTATTTGACATTTTCCATGATTTTTCCCAACCAGTGGTGTTTTTAATAGGAGTGGGGCCATTTTACAGAAAGAAACTTACTCTTTAGGGAAAAAAGAAAGGAAGGTAGGAAGGCAGATGGCATGACAGGCCAAGGTGGGAGAGGGGGCGGAGAAAATGAAAGGAAGGGAAAGGAAGGGAAAGGAAAGGAAACTATGAAAGAAAAAGGGAAGGGGAAGGAAAAGAAGAAAGGGAAAGGGAAGGAGAACAAGGGAATGGGGAGGAAGCAGAAGGGAAAGGAAAAGAATACCCCAAGCCTCAATCTGCTGGTTTAGATTTCAAGACAAAATAATAAAGCTTTTTTGTAAAAGACATTGTCTATTGACTTGAAAGCAAGCTAGCCAAAGGTTTCTTGGGGTTAATTGAAAACGCATACATAAATAAAATCTGAAAGTATGAAATTTTAGAAATAGAATACCATTGACCCTCAGTTATTCTGTAGCTGTTTCCTAGGTAACACAGGTATAAACAGCTGCGTGGGATCAAGCTTCAATGGGCAGTAGTTGGCACAGATGAATCATTTCATTTCAGGTAGCTTTTAAAATCTAGTAGGAAGCCTGATTTAATAAGGAAAATTCTTTTCTTTAAGCATATACCAAGAAAGACTATGACAAATGGCTCTCAGAGAAATAGCTCCTCACCCTAACTTGTCAGGTAGAAGACTTCTATCAAAGACTGATCTTTACTTTTACAGTCCAATCAAGTTAACAACTTGTATACAACAACATAAGGAAAAAAGAAAGAAGCAAAAGAAAGAAGTAAAAATGAATGCTTGGAGGAGAGCCTTGAAGCCCAAATATTGATTTAAAACTGTCTTGCAGCCTTTGTCTCCCCTTCATTCCTTCTTCTCTTTCATTCTTTAATTTTTTCAAACTACTATGGTAGCAAAAAAAATACTCTAACATCTCACGTAGAGTCTGAACTCACAGGTGGGCTGTTTTTTCTCCTATGAAAGCCTTCTAGAAAAAAGAGCTGTCAATTACTCACCATGTAATTCACCACTCAAATGTCTTCAATTTCCCACCTGCTCATGCAAATCTCTGGCATAGCCACCTTGGGTGTATGTTTCCGCATCCTCTATGCAGTTATGATCTTCCAAGGATTCCAGTCTGTTGAGAAATTTCATAAAAGGGGTAAATAATAAAGAGGGTGAGCAAAACTTTTTTCAAAAAAATCACTCCAGTATCTCTAGACCAAGCCCTGGATTAGGATTTAGAGCAACACTTCTAATCCTTTAAATTGATCCTACCTGTAGCTGAGTTAGTGCTGACCTAAATGCATTGACCCAGAGATTAACAATTAGAATCCTCCACAGACAATACCATCTTCTTTTAGAAATGTTATTTAGTTGTTTTTATTAGTATACATTCATTGTACAAATAGGTTTTATGATGATATGTACAGACATGAATACAAGCTACTATGATCACACTATTCCCTTGTTTCTTAACCCTCTTCTGCCTCCCCCCTCCTTTTAAGAGCTTTTTACCGTTACACTTATACTTTCTTAAAATTCATCCATTCTATTTTATTTTAGCACCCTTCCTTCTCTCCCCTCCTTCTAAGAGATTTTACATTTGAATACATTATTTTAGGTATGTATATGAAAATATATGTGCATATATATTTACTTTTATATGTCATGTTTATATATACAGTATATTTCTATAATATTCACCTCTTACCATTGCCCTCTTCTTTCCCCTTCCCTCATCCTGCTGATTCCCCCCTTCCACAATGTTGGCATGTTTTAATTTTTTTATGTCTATATCCCACATTTGAATGGTCTTTCTGAGCTTGATTAATCTCATTTAACATGACCACCACCTTTTGGTTTAACAAAATAATTCCATTCTTATTAGCTGAATATGGTAAGATAATGATATCTCAAATTGGTTATTATAAAAATGTTGTTCATATAGCAACCCTTACTTGGTAGAAGCCATTTTTAGCCACTATCGCCTCAGCTTTTAACCTAAGCTATATAGAACAGGTTTTTGAATGAATAGTACCCAGGAGACAGACTAACAAGAGAAAAAGGATAGATCTGAAGTCTGGGGGTAAGAAAGCTTGTGTGGAGAAGGTTGGGCTCTCTCTTGAAAGGAAAAAATGCAAACACAAGAAATCAAAGAGAGAGACAAACGACCTATTTTGAGTTTTGAGCCAAACTGGATTACCTTTCGTATCTTAGGCCAGAATCATAGCTGATGAATGTTCTGTCATTTAAAGCTGTACTAGAGAAAGCTCAATCTTACCATATTCACCCTTTAAAAGTATACAATTGAGAGATTTCTAATATTGTCACAAGGTTATTCAATCATCATCATTTTCCTATTTCAAACATTCTTATTATTCCCTCAAAGACATTCTGTGCTTGCCTATTTTAGGCCTTGGGCTGGGGCCTAAGACCCTTGGCAGCTAGAGTGGCAACACATGGATCAGGACCCTAAGTGTTACAGTTCTTGTGGCTAGTAGGGTCTCTCTGACAACTGATTCTTTGCCCCAGGGGTTATGAGACTGTAAGTGTTACAGCTCTCCACTGCCCGCTGTTGTTAATCTTTGCTGACAGCAACTGTCTGCCCCCACTGGTCCTGTTAGTTTTGTCAGCTTGCAACTGATAGTACTGCCCAGCTGCCAAAGGTACTTTTTTCCTGCCTCCTCCATTTGTGTTACCCACTCAGAAAAGGGGCACCACCACTAAAGAGCAAGTATTTTTTGAAACCTGATGTTCCCTGATGTTAGAACATCAGGAAGTGTACAAGGAAGGTATTTAACAATTGCTAAGTGAGATAGGAAAGCCTGAATATATAGCCAGAGGGGGAAGAGACAAGGCTGTGTGCATCAATCAAAAATCTCCTTTTATTTGTCTCAATCATAGTATAGCCTGTTATGCAAATGAAAGTTTATGTTTGAACCAATCATAGGTCTTCTGTTCTTCTGTTGTACTGAAGTCCCTCCACCTTGTCCCCTCCTCAAGCAATGATTCTGATAGCTAGTCTTCTTTTGACAAAGTACCTTTTCAAGGTGCTTACAACAAAGGCTTAATAGTAACCACACTTTAAAATATTTAACAAAAAAATACTTTTAAAATTGTGCTTACCAAAAAAAAGTTTCTGTTCTATTATCTAGTCCCAGGCAACCATTTGTCTTATGTGTATGAATTTGCCTGTTCTAGACCTTTCATATAAATAAAAACATTCAATATATTTATTGTGAATGGCTTCGTCCACTTAGCATAATAATTTTCAAGGTGCATGTGTGTTCTGTTATTCAGTAGCACTTCAGTCTTTTTGTGACCAAATGATATTCCACTTTATTGGATATTTGACATTTGTTTTATCAGTTTGAAATATTTTAAATCTTTGACTATTGAATACTGCTTCTGTTTATGTAAAGACTTTTGTGTGGATATATTGTTCCCATTTCACTTGAACATATATGTAGAGAATTGCTGGACATATGACCACTCTATATTTGAAATTTTAGGACAGGTAAATTATTTTCCAAAGTGTACACCATTTTATATTTCTGCTAGCAATATATAAGGGTTTCTTTAAATCTTCATGACAGTTATTCTCTTTTTTAGTTCTTAAAATTTTACCTCCATGACAACTATGGAGGTAGATTTTATTCTCCCCATCTTTTGAGAATTAACACTCAAGATAATAAGGTGATAATGTTTATTGACTCATGATATTAATGGATCTTTTTGGTTGTTCTTTTTTGGCTTGAGTAGTTTTCTTTTCTGAAAAGGAAAAACAATAAAAAGCTTTATATTAACTTAGTCCAAGACTTAGGATGGCTCCAGGGTGGTGATTAAGAGGTGTCTCACTGGCTAGAAGGCAAGGCACAAGCTGAAGCCCTAATGCCAGGTAATGCAGAAGAGTTCCACAATGGCTGCTGTTAAGCTCTAGGGCCTCTTACTCATGCTTGAAGGTGAGGCATTCAATGAGCTCTCTACCATCCTGGCCTGAGAGGCCACCAGCCTGTGGAGGTTAGTTAGGAAGTCACTCACCCTCTTGATAATTTTCATGTCTCCAGCTAGCCTCATACCTGCAATGCTAACCACTTGAGAGGCTTAGAATATGAAGATCTCTGTTCTACACCAGCCCAGGCTATAATGTCCTCAAGATTTTTTCTCCACCCATATCTTGGCACAGACCTGTCATTTTAAGCTATACAGAAGGCTTAGATTGAGAGTATTGTGGATCCAGTCCAGCTCAAACAGAAAAGTCCACAAAAATCCCTTTACACAGAAGGGAAGCTGGATGCTTTGTTAAGAGTCTGTCAGCCAACAGCTATGGGAAGCTGAAAAAAGGCAGATCCCTTTTCAACCATGCACTGGGGCAAGAAGCAAGACTGAATATTTTTTTAAATTATCTTTCCTTCAATGTCTTTTTTTAAAAAATAAGTTTTTCATTGTGAAAATACTGTACACTTACATGAACAAGGTATGAGTACATTTCTTATCAAGCATTGTTGCCTACTCCTTTGTTTTTCCCCTACCATCCCTTCCCTCCCACCTCCACAGCTATACTCCCCACTCACTCCCCGCCTAAATTGTAAAGTTCGTTTTTCCACATAGTGTCTTGTAGATCTCATTGTTACAATGGGTCAACCTGTATCACTATTTAAGCATTTTGGTTTTTTCCTTCCCCTCCACAAATTATACCAACATCAAATACAGTGAAAACAGGGGTGACAACATGGGGGAGGAACAAACAAAGCAACAAAAAATCACATGGTACCTTATAAATATGTTAGAAACAATAGCAAGAAAGAAAAAACCACTTGTGTCCCTATCTTGGGGTTCATTTCATTCAACATCACCTTATCTGGTCATATGTACATAGCTTTTGACCTTTTCTGCTTGTCCCAGACATATACTAATTATTGCAAATAAGCTTTGGGCCTGGCTTACTTCACTTAATATAATTTTTTCCAAGTTTTCCATTTCCTAACAAATGGGGTGATGTCATTCTTTCTGATGGAGGCATAGAATTCCATTGCATATATATACCACATTTTCTTGATCCACTCATCACTGAGGGGCATCTAGGTTGCTTCCATATCTTAGCTATGGTAAATAATGCTGCAATAAACATAGTTGTGCTGGTAGCTTTAGTATGGTCTTGTTTGTGATCACTTGGGTAAATTCCCAAAAGTGGGACTGCTGGGTCATAGGGGAGCTCTATGTGGAGTCTTTTGAATCTTGAAAATAACTAGCGAAAACCATGCCTACAGGTATGGGTTAGTGGTATCCACCAGCAAGCATGAGGTCTTGAGTTCACACCCCAGTACCTCCAGAAGTATAATCAATTCTTAAAACTAGCATAGTTTGAGGAAACAGTCAATATAGTTATTGTGCATCTCATCAACTGGCACTGTAAGTGTACTGTTTTCTTTATTTCTCACAGAAACCCTCAGAGACAGGAATAATTTTGATCCTCACTTTGCATACAGAGAAAAAGATAAAGTCCCGAGAGATTATGATTCTTAGCCATGACTAAATAACTGGGAAATGGTGTAACCATGACTCAAACTCAGCATGGTTACACAAGCTGACACTAACTTTTCAATTTCCTCCAGGTTGTAAAAACAGGTATTAAAGGGTATTTTGTTTCAATATGAGTGTATATATAATATTATAATAGGTTTGCTTTTCTGTACTTTCAAGTAGATGGATGGAACATCCACCCAAGTATCTGCCATATTTTGGCCAGAATAAAGCTCAGTGCTTCCCTCTAATGGTTACCTCAAACTGAAATTAAGACGGAGGTGATAATGACCACATATAACCACAGGATGGCACTATTACACCATTAAGTATTGAACAGTCCTTAAGGTCAATGTTTTTTAATTAAAATATGACAAAAATCATTGTAAAAAATATTTTGTAATGCAGAACACTGCAAATCAAAAAATTCTTTCCTTTTAATATTGTAATTTTCCAAAACTATCATTCAATCATGTATAAAATTTTGTAAACATTTTTTTTTCAATTTAACATTACATTATGCACAAGTTTTCTTTGAGGGCACAGGCTTTGTAGTTAAACTAACATCTTCAAACCCTAACAAAAAGCCAAGCAAATCTGCAAGGTAATGGATTCTGGGTAACACATTCTTCTGGGTAGCTAAGAGAATAGGTATGAGCCACAAGTACCTGGCAAAGTGTAAT